CTGTGTGCCTCTTCTTGTTTGTTATAGCTACCAATAACATCTAGAAAAAAATAGGGGAAATTGCCAGGAGCAGGAGCTCATCAGGATTTTTTTTTTGAAAGTGTATTTGGGACTGCTTTCAATGAAGTCATACTCACTTGGTTGGAGAGTGGAAATAATTTTTGTGCTGGGAAATGGAGTGCTTATTTCCAACATGATGATGTTTAATAAAAGTCTTTCTGTAATATACAGTGCTCAAACATTTTCTGTTTGCTCATTGTGTTATATTTTCCTTTTATAGGTTGGAATTTTGAGATACCTGTCCCAGTGATATTCTTGCCAAAGTAATACTTTTGTATCATGAGTTTATTACTTCAGAACTGCTGTAGGCTTAGCAGCGCAAGGGTCTGTGTCCCCCAGGAGAAATGTATTTGTTGTGGTTGTAGTCTGTGTGTTTTTCTACTTCTAAAAAACAAAATCCAGGCAAAACAACTTTCTGAAGCTAGTCTGGATGTCCAGCTCTTGTGAAAGCCAAGAGCTCTCCTCTGTAGATAAGCAGGGCAAACTACTCCAAATGTGCCTCCCCACATTCTTCACACACAGCCTGATTAAGCAAAAGGGAACTCTTCCAATGGAGCCAAAAAAATCCCCAAAACCAGTGAAAGAAGCAGAGTCCAAACCAAGTGGTGATCTATTTCTCCCATGTAGGACATCCTTTTTCCTCTCTCCCAGGAAACACAGCATTTAGGCCAACTGCAGCTAACTTCATTTCTGCACCTGTCCCACATACGAGGAAAGCAGAAAGCAAGCTGCCTGTCTGACACTGTGAAGGAAGCATCCACCTCAAGGGCCCATCCTTTCACATCCTTCTCTGAGCTGACTGCAGCCCTGAGCCCACCTGCACCTCTCTGCAGCTAGCAGCTTGCAATGGGCCCGCAGCATGGTGTGGGTCCTCCAGCCAGGGGAGAGCTGCAGCACTTGGCGGGGGATTTACAGAGCAGTTGTGAAAACCCTTCCATAAATGTCACTATCATTTTGTTGCAAGTGATTTGCTTTTCCACACAATCCTTTTCACTCATACCTCAGTGGGAAGCTGCTTTGAATTTCAATTCACAGTTATTCAGCTCCTTTCACACCTACATAGAGCCTTTGCTTTAAGCTTGCATGTGATGTTCGGCTGTTTTTGGGTGCACGGGAGCACCTAGGGCAGGAAAATGCAGTGGAAGCAAGCAAGTTGTACCTTGTGGCATATGTGAAGAGAATTAATCAAATGAAAAACCCTATCAGAAAAATCTATAGGCAGCAGGTGAGACCGGTGGAATTCAGTTTATACACAAAGACAGCATTTATCCAGAGCTTTGGCTCTTTAATTGGAGCAGGGCATACAAAAAGCAGGTTGAGGTGTTTTGTGCGATCCAGCAATGTTGCTACTATAGAGAAATTTTTAATGCTTTGCAAAACATCCAAGTATAAACTATAAAGAGAAGATTTCAGCTGTACAGTAAGGTATTCAAAATTAACATTTGTGTGATTCAAAGCAAGGTTATCTGATCTTTTCCCGTTTTCTGCATTTAGAAATACTTGGAAGAGTTCCATCGAGAGGTATATTGTGAGAGACACATCTTTGGAGGGGCAGAGGGGCTGGCGTGTGCTGGCTGTACTCCTGGGAAACCGTGCTGAAGATGCTGTTATGTGGAAAAGTGAGAGAAAACGTGTAATGTCCTCTCTTCCAAGTGACACCTGTTCAGATCCTAAACTGCTTTAGGTGCTGTGGACAGAGGAGGGAGCTGCCAGCTCACCACAGCCAGACTTGGCAAGCAGAGCCCAGCTTGCTTGCTGGTGGTCCTCCCAGAGATGGTATCAGACTTAATTTGCAACAGGTGGACACTGGCCTGGAAGTGCCCAGTGCACTTTGGCAAACTTTGGGCATGGTTTGTATGCCCATACACTGCAAAACCCCAGCAACCAGTCTGCAGGGACAGTGGGAGCAGGAGGCCTGAGAAGGTAGTTGCAAGGAGAATATTTTGGCAGTGGGGTCTTTAACACTTCGTTATGAGGGAAAACCTGAGATGGATTGCTCAGAGGTCAGCTTGAGCCAGCATGGAGTGGTTTGAAGCAGAGCCCCAAGCTGACCTGATCTGCAGCCTTCCTGCCCTGGCCAGCAGCAAGGGCACAAACCATGGCTTTATTCAGCCCCGAAGGAAAAAAGATTTCTTCACATGATGCTGCTTGCTGGCTGCTGGTGGCAGAGTGTTGGCTGGGACGTGTGGCAGTGTGCACGGCTGGGCAGGACGGGCTCTGAGTCAGAAGCTCCTGAGATGTTGCTAAATTCAGCTTTTTCTGATATACACTGGGAGCTGCTTTGGTGCAGCCTTTCTGCCTTCAGAGATATGGCTTGGATCCAGTTCTTGTGAGTTGTATGTATTCATTCATTAGGCCTCGGTGAGTGAGAAGAAGTGCTACTTGTGGTGCAGCCCTCAGACTGGTAGGTATTTGACAGCAATTAAGCACCAAGACAGCCTGCCTTCCCAACTAGCACACGGTGCCTTATTTTTCTGATATCTGGATGGCAGATGATTTCATTTGAAGTTCTAACAAGGCCCTGAACTGAGAATCTGGGAGCGCACAGGCTTTGCTGCAGTTCTCACCCTGGTTTATTGCATTGTTCCCAACCTGGCTAGGGCTAGGAGAGGAGGTAATACCTACCTAATACCATATTAAACAGAATCTCTATTCCCAGCCCCATGCAGTGCTTCAAATCCTGTCCATCATTCCCCAAGTGCTAGAAGGCAGCACTCTTGCCTTCATCTCAGTTAGATACACAAGGACCAGCTTGGTGCCAAAGGTTCTGGTCTGGTCTGAGGTCATGATAGCTCTCATGTGCAGCAGTGACTGGCTCCAGCAGCTCACTTATTCCAAGGAAGTAGTAGTTAGATTTGCCAACAAACTGTCTCTGACACACTAAAAAGTATCTTTTCCAGGGGAGGACTTAATGTGATCCTTTCGTGGTGTTTCTTTTTTAATATCTTTTTATTATTATCATAATTTTTATAGCACTAGAAGCAGAAGATGCAGAAGAAAGTATTTCAAAGGCATCATCACTCAGATGAGAGAAAGAAAGGTTTTGTGGTTGAATGAGGGAAAGCTTTGCTTCTAGGTTTCTAAACTTTGGCACAAGTCCCTGGGCCTCCCCAGCCTCTGTGCAGTGATGCTTTGCAAAAGTAGGGCTGGTGCTGGAGTAAACAGAGAATAACACAGAGGTGATCAAAGCAGCAGAGCAGTCTGAATGCCACACTTCTGGTGAATGGCTCAAAGTTAACTGCTGCCACTGTGCACCTCTGTCATCTCAGAGTGTAGCAAGCCCATGTCCCAGGGCTGAAAACCCACCACACTCATGGATGTGAACTCCTCTCTGCAACCCCTTCCCAGGAGCAACTCTGACCCAAAGAAACAGAGCTCATCCAAATTTAACATGAGTGTTTAGCAGAAAAAGTTGAGCGTGTCCCAGCACTTTTTCAGTTTTCTGGTCTGTGTCACAAATTCAGGTTAAGACCGACCTCTAAAGGGCAGCAAGGACATGTTACATGACAGAATAGCCTCATAAACTCCCCAAATCTTCAAAAACTGATCTACCTGCAGCTTCGAGCCATAATAAAGTTTATTTGGAAACTAACCTCATCTCAGTTTCTGACTTTGCAGATGAAAGAAGCATATTTTCTAGACTACAAAATCTGTCAGCTTTAAAAGAAAATGTGCTGTTCAGGAATGTGGTCAGCATGTGCTGGGGGAGTCAGTGTCCATGGAGGTGTTCCAGAACCGTCGGGATGTGGCACTGGGGGACGTCGGCAGGTGGGGAGGTGGACAACGGGACTTGGTGATCTTAGAGGTCTTTGCCAAGCACAGAGATTCTGTGATTCCGTGAATCGAGTCATTTATTGTAAGGAGAGGTAATCAGCAGCAAGCAACCAAAAAGTAAAGCGTTCAGAACACCGCAGAACCACCTGAACGCGCCATTGGGATACTGATGGAGCCACCCGTAGCCCGGCAGCATCCAGGTGGGGCCAGGAGGGTGGACGTGTCGCCCAGTGCCTTCAGCAGCACCAACACGCCGGGTTCCAGCGGGGCTGCGTCCGGCACCGGGCCCCTCACCCTGCGCTGGCTGCAAGAGCCTCCGCCCTCCTGCCTGGGTGCCCCCAGCCACTGTGAGGTGTGATGGCGTCACAGAGGTGGCACGGAACGGCCATGGTGACACGCGGGGTGTGGAACACAGCTAAGGCTGCGGGGCTCAGGCCGAGCTCAGTGCGACTTGGTGAGGTGAGCAGGGAGGAAGGGGCTGCCTGGGGCTGCCGAGGGAGGCGGGTTCCCCGGCGCTCAGGGCCTGAGCTGAGAACTCAGCCTCGTCCCGCTTCTGCCACAGGTTGTCACGCGGAGGAGAAAGCCTGGTGTTGCCGGGACAGACGCTCTGCGAGGCTCACTGTTGATGCACACGATGTCCGAGGGGACGCAGGAGGCCGCCGGCTTGAGCGAGCTGGGTGAGAGCAAAGTATCCCTGCACGCAGCTCCCCGCCGCCGGGCAGAGGGGTGCTGGGGGTCTGCCTGCGGCGGAGAGGGGAGGCGGGGGCACGCAGGGCCCGTGTGCTCCTTGGCCAGGGGGGCCGCGGTTGGGCTGCGGCTGCCTGCTGGCACCGCTGGGCCTGCAGTGCCCCTTGCCCTCCACGGCCTCCAGCCCTGCCCCTCAGCTGGCACGGCCGGCACAGAGCAGCCCCTGGGACAGCCCCCGGGGGCACCTGGCCCCGCAAGGCGCTCACTGTGCTCCTCTCTCCTCTCCAGCATGCGTGCTGTGTGGCCAAGTGGATGAGGACTCGAGCATCCTTGGGCACAAAGAAGAGTACAATGGATTCTATTTCCATGAGTTTTGTGCTGTGAGTTCCCATGAGGCTCCTGCCACCTTCCTCCAACCTGTGCTTCCCTTCTTTCTGCCCTAACAAGATCATACTCTTTCCTCTTGTACAGATATTTGCCAATGCTCTTTGTGGATCTGTGGAAGGCAGCAGTGAGCTATTTTTTTGGATAGAAGACCTGCAACACACAGTGAGGCAGGCAGAGCAGACGGTGAGCACCGAACTGGAACAGGAAGCATGGTGCCAGGAGAGGCATGGCGAGCTTAGCCTGGTCCAAAGAAAGCAATCCCAGCCCTTCAACCAGCCCCAAGACACATTCTTGCCCTTGCAGACGAGCCCTGTGCAGCAGGCAGCTCTGCAGAGTGCCACCCAGCCCTGCCCCATCCTGTGCCCTGCACAGAGGTGCAGGACCCGCTGTGTAGGCCCTGAGCCTGCTGCTGATGGAAATGCTCTGCTTCTTCCAGCTCTGCTTCGTTTGTGGCAATCGGGGGGCCAGCATCACCTGCGCAGAGCCAAGCTGTGACCGCAGCTTCCATCTCCCCTGCGCTTCAAATGGTGAATGTGTCACCCAGTTCTTTGAAGACTTCAGGTAAGGGCTGCCAGGCATCGTCTGCGAGCCTCCAACCCCTCTGTCAGCACCAGCCAGAGAAGTGAGGAGCGCGTTGTGGCACCTCCCAGCAGCCTGACAGAGCCAGAGCCAAGGCCTGGGGCTCCTTCCTGTTCCTCTGCCCTCCTCGCAGCACTTCTCACCTTGCCCATCCCTCCCATCTTCCCCCAGGTGCTTCTGCAGGGAGCATTCCCCGCAGCAGGCAGTGGAGGCAGTGCCAGCACAGGACACGACCTGCATTGTCTGTATGGACCCCGTGGGGGACAGCATGTCATACAGCACCATGGTGTGCCCTGCCTGCCAACACACCTGGTTTCACCGGGCTTGCATCCAGGTAGGAGCTCTCCCGTCACCCAACAGGCACAGCAGATGCTCAGCAGCACCAGGCCTGGTTCACACTCACGCTGCTTCTGTTTCTGCTGCAGGGACAGGCCCTGCGCGCAGGGTTTTTTTGCTTCCAGTGCCCCCTCTGCCGAGACAGAGACTGGTTTATTACGGACATGCTCACTATGGGGATCCGAATCCCATTCAGGTTGGTGTCTTTCAGCCAACTCTTGAGACATGAAGGCACAGGCGCTGTCCTTGGCAAGGGACTGCACCAGCAGGCCTGGCCCTCTGCGGCCATTAAGATGGGCCTCAGCATCACTGGGAAGCTGGAACTGCGCATCGGGTGGAAGGGGGGGGAATGGATTAGTTTTAGTCCTGGGGTGGTCAGTGCTCATTCCATTCCCTCCCTTCTCTGGCAGAAATGCAACGTGGGAGGACAACGGTGCCTATGCATCCCTGGGAGTCAGGCACAGGAGCTGTGATGCCAGCGACTGCCTTTACCCACACGGCAGGGAGCAGGCAGAGGAAGAGGGGTGAGTTATCTCTGCGTGGTATCACAGCCTCACCACAGCCTGGAGGAGCACAGACTGAGCACCAGAGCTGTGAAGGGGCACTCCGTAGCTCCGGTCACTTTGTCCTTATGGTCACAACCCGTTGTTTTCCCCAGGCCCTGGCAGCTGCTCCTCTGCAGCTCCTGTGCTGCACAAGGCACTCACTGGCACTGTTCCAACTTGAGTCCAAGCACAACCAGCTGGGAGTGCAACACCTGTGCTGGAGAGGGCACCGGTAAGAGGCAAAGAGCTGCGTGCTGCTGGGCTGGGGCCAGGCAAGGCCTGGCAGTGGCTGTTAAGAGCAGCTTTGCTCAAATCCCTCAAGCTCAGGACAAATGGGAGCCAGTTCCACCCCATGGCTGCAATTCCATCCTGCTTACTTTCCTGCCTCCCCTTACAGGCTCCAGCACCAACTCAGGTCTTCCTGGCTACAGTACCATCAGCCAGCAGGGACTGGGGCCATCCCAAGGCTCTGAGACACCAGAGAGCAGCAGGTCCAGCACCACCAGACAGGCACCATTGGGGCCAGCTAACTGTTCCCCCGTGCCTGAGAGCAGTGGCCTGTCCAGCCAGTGCTGCACAGACCGGAGGAGAATCTGCCCATGTGTACAGCGGGATGAAAATAATGAGCCCCGAGGACAGCGTGGGAGCAGCCATAATGCTGCCCCGATTGTTGAGAGCCACACTCCAAACTCTGCAATACAGGAGTCATCAGAGTCCTTGAGGCACACCCCATCAATTGGTTACAACCTCCGGTGCAGACAGGGACAGCGGGCCGAGACAAGAAGCCGCTCTCCATTGCAACGCCGATCCCCAGATCCTCAGAGCCAGCCCCAATCACGCCGTGGGAGCAGGCAGGCACCAGCCTCAAATGCTGAGAGCTGCACCAACAGATACACTGGACCAGGAGCATCGCGGTCCTCGAGGGTTTCCACGGCAGCTGATAGAAGACGGTCCGGGCAGGCAGGGCGGGCCCGGACTCGGAGCCGCTCGC